CATGCTTGCTTTTAAACCAAGTATTATATTTACAAAGGTACAATCACCAGAGGTGCCTTCTCCGCCTTCAAGGTCCGGGAGCCCACCTTGGGAAGGTATTGGCTCCAGGATGATAAACAGTTCCTGGCTGTCGGGGAGAATGGTTTCTCCACTTGCCTACTGTATGCTACCCTCCTCCTCCTCATCATCATCATCTTCCTCATCCCCAAAATCCTCATCCCTGTTGCGTAAGACTCCTCCCTTTCAGGAGTCCATGAACAGGAGTGGGTAGTGGTGGGGGCATCCCCTAGAATGGCATGCAGCTCATCATAGAAAAGGCATGTCTGGGGGTCTGACCTGGAGCAGCTGTTTGCCTCTTTGGTTTTTTGATAGGCTTGCCTGAGCTCCTTAAGTTTCACGTGGCACTGCTGCAGTCCCTGTTATAGCCTCTGTCCTTCATGCCCTTGGAGATTTTTTTCAAATATTTTGGCATTTCGTCTTTTGGAACGGAGTTCTGATAGCACAGATTCATCTCCCCATATAGCGATCAGATCCAGTACCTCCCGTTCGGGCCATTCTGGAGCTCTTTTGCGATTCTGGGACTCCATGGTCACTTCTGCTGATGAGCTCTGCACGGTCACCTGTGCTGATCAGCTTGCCACGCTGGCCAAACAGGAAATTAAATTCAAAAGTTCGCGGGGCTTTTCCTGTCTACCTGGCCAGTGCATCTGAGTTGAGAGTGCTGTCCAGAGCGGTCACAATGGAGCACTCTGGGATAGCTCCCGGAGGCCAATACCATCGACTTGTGTCCACACTACCCCAAATTTGACCTGGCGATGTCGATTTCAGCGCTAATCCCCTCGTCAGTGAGGAGTACAGAAATCGATTTTAAGAGCCCTTTAAGTCGACAAAAATGGCTTCGTTGTGTGGACGGGCGCAGGGTTAAATCGATGTAACGCTGCTAAATTCGACCTAAACTCGTAGTATAGACCAGGGCTGTGAAACACGATGACAGCGAGTTCCTCAGAGGATATTCCCCTTTCAACCAGTATTTCTTGATTTTGCTCTGATTTAATCTGAGTCCACTATATTTCATCTTGCAAGCATTGTGACATCCTGGTTATATCTTAGAAAACGAGATACACAACTGTGGTTTCAACTGTGTTGAAAGTTAATGAGTCTTTATTGAGTTGTAGCCTTCACCCATTGCAATGCAAAAGTTTGGGGTTTTTTAAACCACCACTAAGGATTTTATCTCTGTGCTGTGACCTCAGAGTTGATTGTGAGGTATCCAAGATGTTAACCATGGTCATGTGATTTTGGAGTTTGGTTGGCACTAGAATTTAAATATTTTTGTATAGAAATAGGAGTTTGGGAAGGTCATCTGAATTGAGTATGTACTTTTCAAACACTGGATAGGCTATTGCATTTTTCAGGGAGGATGGCATGTTCTCTTCTCTGAAGGATGCATTTATTATTTTTAATTTTACAGTTACTTTTCACTAGCTTTCCCAAGCCAAGAAAGGGTATATATCACCTTTGCATGCAGTGGGTTAAATGTTTGTAAGGGCTTCCAGGCATGTCATTGTGTGTGAAGGATTCTGTTAGGGGAGGGTGTGACAGTTAATGTTGTGTGGTTCAGTTCCAGATTTTCAGCCTTCGCAAGTCTTCTCGTTGATGATTTCTGCAAAGTAGAATGAATGCTCTGCCAGTGGTTGGTGCTTGAGTACAATGTTTGGATTAATGGTAAAACAGATTCTTTCAATCTTATTCCACATCATCAAATTAAGTTGTCAATTCCTGTGACTATTTGTTCTTTTTTATGCTACCAACACTTTTAAAGTCTCTTACTGATATCTCTCTGTAACTACACTTAATGATTAAAATACCACTTCTGTTATACTGGAGATAAAGCGCTGATTCTGTTGCAGTGAAAAAAATTAGGACTGTGAGTTCTTGTCCCCAGATTCCCTAACAGATGTTGTAAGTACTGTTGTTTGGAGACTTAGAAATTTTACTGGCATATCTAGCAGACTAAGATGTCTGTCAAATATGTTTACAAATAAAACAGAAAAGTTCAAATACGCTAACTGTAAATATACCTAAATTCAAGAGCACCGAATTAGTTTTCTTTCAACTTATCTAATGACATCTGTGGTACAAACCAGTCCAAATTTGACATGTCTAGCCTCATCCATTTTAGAATCAAGTATCAGGGGGTAGCCGTGTTAGTCTGTATCTACAAAAACAACAAGGAGTCTGGTGGCACCTTAAAGACTAATAGATTTATTTGGGCATAAGCTTTCGTGAGTAAAAACCTCACTTCTTCGGATGCATAGAGTGAAAGTTACAGATGCAGGCATTATATACTGACACATGGAGAGCAGGGAGTTACTTCACAAGTGGAGAACCAGTGTTGACAGAGCCAATTCAATCAGGGTGGATGTAGTCCACTCCCAATAATAGATGAGGAGGTGTCAATTCCAGGAGAGGAAAAGCTGCTTCTGCAAATTCAACACCATTAATCTGGGCTTGAATAGGGACTGGGAGTGGCTGGCTCACTACAGAAGCAGCTTTTCCTCTCCTGGAATTGACACCTCCTCATCTATTATTGGGAGTGGACTACATCCACCCTGATTGAATTGGCTCTGTCAACACTGGTTCTCCACTTGTGAAGTAACTCGCTGCTCTCCATGTGTCAGTATATAATGCCTGCATCTGTAACTTTCACTCTATGCATCTGAAGAAGTGAGGTTTTTACTCACGAAAGCTTATGCCCAAATAAATCTGTTAGTCTTTAAGGTGCCACCAGACTCCTTGTTGTTTTTATCCATTTTAGAGTTATCCAAGCACAATATTTCTGATACATCTGTATGGAGAAAACATGTTCTGTTCTCCCTCCCCTCCTTCTTTAATCCCCTCCCCCCCCAATAAAAAAATAGTTTATGTTGTGTTTGCCCCATCCTCCCTCCTTCAGGTATCCCCCTCCCCCTCCTCCCCATATATATTTTAAAAATAGTTTAACAGATTAGGGTCAACTGAAAAAGAGGTTGTTAAAATGAAAGCTGGAATTCAACCTTAACTTCAGACAAGACCAAGGGAATGCCTGTTAGCTGAGAAAAACAGTTGGAACAATAATCTGATGATTACATGTCCCTCAGTAGGAAAGTGTTCACTGTTTGTGATAACGTGTTCACAGTCTGAGGGTATTGCTAGAACCCCATGTGCTTTTGGGTGCCTAAGGCCTTGGCTACACTTGCAGCTGTACAGCGCTGTGAGGTAAACCTGTCTTCGTACAGCTGAGTAGGGAAAAGTGCTGCAGTCTGTCCACACTGACAGCTGCCAGCGCAGTGGTTTGGCCACACTTGTAACATTTGCAGCTGTGTTGGGAACGGTGCATTATGGGCAGCTATCCCAGCATTCATGTGGCTGCAACGTGCTTTTCAAAACGGGGGGGGGGAGGGTGCGGTGGATTGTGACAGGGAGTGTGGGGGGAGAGAGTGCTTTTTGGAGCATGTCAGCTCTCTATTTTGCAAGTTCCGAACTCCCGGCCCCCTGCTCATTCGTTTACTTACTTAAAGCAAGCTGCAAATTGTTTGCTTTTCTCTGCAGTAGAGCTTTGAAACCGGCACTTCCTCATTCCTGCAGCCAGTCACAACAATGGAGAGGACTGGCCATTTGACAAGGTGATTAGTACAGCCCTGCAAGCTTTTACACTCACACCTGTGAGTCGTAGCCACTCCGCTGCAGCTGTTATTCCTCTCGGAGATGTGGAGTACCTGCAGCGGTGTACCCAGAGAGATACAGCGCTGCAAGTGCCCTGCCAGTGTGGACGGGGAGTGAGTTACAGCGCTGGGGGAGGCTTTACAGCACTGTAACTTGCAAGTGTAGCCAAGGCCTAAGTAGCAGCAGTGACCAGAAGCAGTACTTCTTTGTGTGTGCTTGGCTAGAAGGTTGTGACCTTTTCTTTGGACTCTGCTGGTGCTATCTGTGCCTCAAGATTAGATTACTTTAACCAGCTTCTTGGTGGGACTAAATTTTGGAGACTATTCAAAATCTTCACCTTGCTTGTTGGTGTGGATTGATTTAAATCAGAAAGACAGAAACCTTGATTTAAGTAATCAATTTTAATCTTGATTTGTGTTTATACTTTTTAGTTATTTTCCTGAGGAAAGGTTGATTCGCATTGGTTGGTAACTACTGCCACTAAATACAGCCTTTACACTAAATGTGGTACTGTTTTTTGCTAACTTGAAGGATATATTGTATCTATACACATTTACTTAAGCAATTTATATAGCTTAATTGACATTTTATTCAGATTCTTAATTTTTATATTTATATTATGTTAGAAAATGGTGAATGATACATTTCTTATTTACTAGTTAATTTACTTTTAATTTGCATCAAGCTCTATTTGAATGGAAATTGAGTCAATTAAAATGTACAAAACCAGCATTTTAAAATTATTTATGAGTTAAATAAAACTACCTTAATGTGCTGGATAGATATGGGGAAAAAAAGTTTATCAAAGCATGTTTTGCATCTAAAACTAAAACAAAGGCAGTATTATCTGTAGTTAGTGGATTGATCAGATTGTTTCTGGTCACCATGTCCTTTAGGGTTTTAGAACTAGTAGATCTCATCCTCTCACACTTAACTTTTATTCACAGAGTGGGAGAAAAAAAACAAGCTTTCCTGATTTGTCAACTGCCATTGGCTCCTTAACTGTGAATGAACTAGTCATTGAACTGAATTAGTTGAATAAACTGAAAGTAAGAAAATATTTTCTCTGTACCTGTGAAAGAGGCTACTGCTGTCAAAAGCTAATTTAGCACTTCAACAAACTAAAGTCTTGAAAAATCAGATTTTTTTTTTAAATCCTGGGTGTTTATTCATCCAGTTGCTTGTTCAGCAGAGCTTCTTAGAGGGAATATATTACACCTGTGCTGTATGGTTTGGATTGGAGTCTGTCTGTTGCCCAATGAAATTTAAGAGCCCGGTTTTAATCAAAAGGCTCTAAATGGTTTGGGTCCTAGTTTCTGAAGAAAGTTTCCCTCTCGTTGTCTGGTAGTACAGCAGGTGAGATCTGTGGAGGTGCTTGAGCTAGCAATACCCAGGTATAACTGGAATGGGGTGCTGGTAGGGCTTTCAACTCCGGAACTCACTCACTATCTTTCCTTAGTTGGACACAGCCTGAGTCTGTTGACCTTGTAGGCATTCTGAAGGCCTGTATGTTTTTTTCAGGCATTTGAGAAAGGCCTGGATGAGAAGAGTTTAAGCCAGTTTATGGGGTACTATTTATTAAACTAGACAGATAGAAGAGTGAGGAAGTGTCTAAGTGGGCCTGATCTCCAGGGTATTGTACCTGCCTTTCTTGCCCCATATAGTAACTTTTTAAAAGTCAGATTTTTTTTTTCAAATAAGAGTTGTATATTAATTAAAAAAAAATCAAGACAAACTAGTGTTTCTGAAATAACAGATTTCTATAAATAATGGATTTTCACAGAAGATATTTTTTGTGGCTATTTCAGGAAATGCTTCAAAGAGCATCAGAAGAATTCTCTCCAAAGATGGAGATTCCTGAGGAGGAGATGGATACAACTGATACCCAATGGGGCTGGTTTTACTTGGCTGAATGTGGCAAATGGCATATGTTTCAGGTATCTAAACGTTGGATTATGTTATCTGTGATAACTTCCACACTTCAAATGTACTGTATTTAAACTTGTCCTTTCTGGTTTGTTTTGAAGACTGATTCAAACACTCAGTGTTCAGTTAGCAGTGAAGACATTGAAAGGAGCTTCAAAATGAATCCAGAAGGCTCTGTTTCTTTTACTACTGCAAAATTTAACTACAAGTTAGACTTTTCAGGTATGTCTTTCTCTAACAATAAAGTATTTATATATTTTTAGGTTTCTCATGACAAGAGTTGACCTGTGCATCTTACATGCTGTTGGCCTCAAGTATCTCTTTTATTGTAGTGCAAAAAAGCACAATTGGGAAGGCCTTCTTTATATGAATGTACATTTGACATTTTATGGAGACAGTTATGTGGTTCAGCCTTCTAGCTTTGTTACTGTAAGTAGCATACCCTGTCCAGTAACACTGGTGTTTGTCCTGTCTCCTCTCACTTGAGATATAAGTGGTGCTGTACCGTATACTCAGAGAAATGGGAACACCAAAAGTTTGTTTTCTTCTAAATATTCAAGCAGCAAGTGTTGTAGAAAACGATTTTCTGTCTTCACAAACTCTATATAAGTAATGTTGATAAAGTGACAATATAATTCAACTGGCAGATACTTCAACAATCCAACTCTGATATGTTCATCAGAGCATCAGATATCATTTTCTAGAAAATGACTTTATGTAAAGATCTCATATATTCATATTGTATGGACTCTTTATCACAGGTTACTGATGGTTTCCAGTGTAGTTACTATGTAGTTAATTTTAAATACGTTTTATTATGTAGAAAGTTGCAATGTAATGGCTTCTCATTCGGAATATTTCAAATATTGCACTTATAGTTTCATCTGTATTTTCATATTAAACTGACCAAAGGCCTGTCATGCTCACGTGATGTGGATGTTCTGTTTTGGGATAGCAGTCTCTCTATTCTGATCTTACCCTACAGTTGTAGGGTAATACAGTGGTGGACTATATGAAAATATGTACATTCATGCAGAATTTTGTATTTTGTTAAATACTTTTTCAAATAGCTTCTTTAGAGTTTACTTTTAAAAAAACAGATTTTGTAAACTATATTTAAATCTTGAATCTTTGCTTAAAAATGCTAAAGGCAGCTGTTAAGCATAACATAATTTTCACCATACTGTTAATATAGTATCACTTTTATATTTAAATGTGGTACAAAGATGTTAGCTTCTGCACTGCATTAAAATTAGCATTTAGATGCGGAAGTCTAGAGTGTAATCCTAGCCTTATTAAAATCAATGTGAGTTTTGTCATTGGCTTAAATGTGCCAGGATTTCACCACTAGTGAATATGCACTGTCTGTCTTAAGTACAGTACTTATTTAGTACTAATTCCCATGGTATGTGGGAGCTCTACTAATGTTTTTTGCATTCTAGTAGTAGTAGTGTTGGAGAATAATATTCTGAAATGCTTCTCTCAACACTTGAGACAATAATTTCTATTCAGCAACTCTAAAAATATCATTTTCTGGGTACTGTGCTATGTCCAAACACTTTACATTTCTGTAGATTGAATGTTTCTGGTACTCACTTAATTTTCATTTTATATACAGTGATGAAACAAACCAATCTGACTACTGGAAAACAGCGTCCAATAAAGCGAGCTCCCTTTTCTATCAGTGCTTTCAGGTAAGAACTAAAGGTGGTTCATTGTTGGTTCAGTTCATCATTCCTTTAGTAAGATGAACTAGAAACATTTTAAAATTTCTTCATTATTTTTTACCCTCCTCAAATTAAATCTGGTGACACAGATTGGAGCGGGAAAGCAAAAGAGGAGGAAATCTCTCCTTGCCCATTAAAAATAACTATCCACAGTTTGAATCCCCATTCAGGACCCAAGCGGTGTGTCAAATTATAGATTAGTGCAAAATTCTGTACAGAGTAGGAATCCTATTGGGGGAAGAGAAAAGCTTCAACTCTTGGGTGTGATTTAACTTATATTTTTGTGTTTTAAGTTATATCTGTGAAAATGAGGCTATCCCAATGCCTTCACACTGGGAGAATGTAAATACAGAGGAACCGTATCAGGTAAGAGCTATTATGACATGAAACATACATATGATGAAAGAACAATGGACTTCAGTGAAACTATACTAACCTCTCTTTTTCCAGCTTATTCCTTTGCAAAAACAAACAAATGAATATAATGAAGTTTCTAGTCTCTTTGGGAAAACAATGGATAGCAACCGAATTAAAAGAATTCAGAGAATTCAAAATCTAGACTTGTGGGAGTTTTTTTGCAGGTGAGATTATTTCTAAAACAAACACTGTACTAGGTCTGCTAATAGAATAAATCTCTTTTAAAGGCATGCAGCAGAAATAGTTAAATACATCTAATTATAAAACTGTTGGAATACTTATTGTGTGTCTGCACCCTTTCTGCATCTGGTCTCTTTCTTCTGTTCCCTGATTGGTCCTGCTCTTGTGTTTATAGTCATATATCAGCATTCCTATTAAAGAGCCTGATTTTTTTTATGGATTTGGAATTTAATGATACTTCTGTAACAACCGTAAGCTAAAGATCACAAACTGCTTAAAACTTGAAAAGCAATGAGAAAATTGAAAAGCACTGTTGCAATAAAAATTTATTTTGGGCTGAAATTTGATATGCAGTTTCAAAGGTTTTATATTTAAATTTAAACTAAAGAAGAATTTTTTTTTTAAAGGCATGTAAAGCAATCTTTGTTTCAGATCAAATTTTTATTTTGGTCAGCAGGTACAACTCAACATGCACATGGAGCAGATTTTTGGGCTACGAAGGTACCATTTTTACAAAATCCCTTTTCAGACTAGAACTGCACTTTAAATTGATTAAGCAGTGTTTCAATTTCCTGATTTACCAGTTGTGAAAAATACACTGTCTTTGATATAGAGGAAAAAGTAAAACCGCACAAATTGTAGATTGGCATTCACAGCCTTTGCCATTTACTGTTATAGTCTTAACATTCTTAGAATGTATCTGTTTTTTCTAGAGATGGGTCCAGATGCCTTTAAACTTTGAAGAAGTTCATATCCAAATCTGAATTTAACTTTGCAGCTATTTTTCAATTATTTAAAAAAAAAAGGTTTTGAAAGGCTTTATCAAAAGTTGTATTTGTCGGAAATAGGGAAACTGTCTCTGCAGTTGTTAGTCTCCTGGCGAAATTGACATTGAAAAATGTTTCTAATTTTGAATGGTTGTATGAATGGTTTCATGTGAATTCCTCCTTGGTTATTAAAGGAGTTGAATAGCTGAATGTCCCTAGCCCATGTTGCTAGAAAAATATTTTTTCCTGATGGACAGTAAGGTACCAGACTTGACCAGTTTCGTGATCATTTTTAATATATCAAATCTTTGAACAGTAAATAATCATCCAACTGGTAAAGAATGTGTGGCAACTTCAGAGAGCCCCCTCATCAACATATGGAAAGGAAGAGCACAAGCATAGCTACCTTGTCATGAAGGATAACATTGGGTTCCCTTCTAATCCTCTCTGTGTGAGCTGGCTGGTAGAGGTGACTACGGTCATTGTTCTCAGAAAGTATATGTAGTGGACCACAAGATATTGTTATGATGGAGTGAAGGGGTCACAACAGACTCCTTGTAAAATGAGCCTTCGCAGGGTTGTATTCGTTGCATGTCTAGTGAGGCAAAACAAATACTCCTGATTTGTCAAGTTTCTCACCTTACCATCTTCTCTTTATGAATTTTAGTGTAGGGTGAAGTGTCTGTGTTGGATCCAGCTCTATGCAGCAAATCCAAGTTTAGTCTGTCAGTATTGCAGAAGCCATTGCTGGCTTTAGCGTTCCTGCTTTCTTTCCCACTAAATATTGTATGGGGCAGGGTGAGTTAGGAGTTCTTGAGTTTTGTTCCCACCTCTTCTCTGATCAGTCTTTATTTAATATTTGCACTTCAGAAACATTATGTATTACATGGTTGCCCTTGGAAATGTCAATATGTACCTTTCTAGAAAGGGAACTTATAAAAAGTCAGCATGAAGATATATTGGACCATTATGACAATAAAATCAATAAGTAAAAAATGAAAAAATATTAAGGTGTTACATGGGCTTAAAAGGTGCTATGCTGTAGATGAAATTGTATGGTATATTGTATTTGAGAAACACCTTGTGATCATGTAATTGCACGCTTATACTGAATATTTACAGAGAGAGGTGTCTTAAGATTGCATATTGAATCTTAATTTTCTCATTTCCTGGCTTATGAGTGATTAATTTTTGCAACTTTAGCCTTCTCTTAATGTATTGGTATGGAATGTATTTAAATATATAAATACATTCTACAGTTAAAAAGTTTATTTGCTTTGATTGGTGCTTTTGTACCAATCTTACTACTTTGAAGCTTGTATATCTAACAGTGTCCCTGTTGTAACAATTTATTGCTTTAAAGTGGATTTCTATAGAGGTATCTCTGAAGTTTTTCAATTTGTGGCATACTTCTATGAATAAGAATATCAAGAAATGATATTAGATCGCCACTGACTTCTGAGTTCGCAGTGCAGATTTGTGTTCTCTTTGATTTTCTACCTTTTGCTGAAAAAAGGACTTGATGGGCAGCAGGGACCACTGCACAATTAAGTGTGTGCTTTAAGAACGCCAAAGCTATGGAGTTCCCACTACCCCATTGGAAACATGAACTCAGGAATGGGAATCTGTTATTGCGTGCAGTATGATTATTACAGTATTGCAATATTACTGTGTGTGTTAATTGCAAAGTAATATACAGTATGAAAATTCCATACACAATGGAGTATAAAGGCATGAGGGGAATCCTCTCGGTCCAGAAACTGCTTGCCCTTATTTTTCCACGGGGGGAAAACCTAAAGATTTGTATCAAAGTCACAAGGATGGCTGGCAATGGTCTCAGAGGCTCAGCTGCTTTCTGGGGTGAAATAACGTATTTGTGTGTCTGACCCAGTCATTTGGAGCAGATGAACCTCATCACTAAGATGCTGATTTCGTCATGGATATTTTTAGTAAAAGTCATGGAGTGGTCATGGGTAATAAACGAAAAGTCATGGAAGCCGTGACCTGTCCCTGACTTAACTAAAATCATCCCTGACAAAAATGGGGAGGGAAGAGAGTCCAGCACCCTGCTCTTCCCCCCACCCCAAAGCAGCTGGGAGCTGCAGGTACTCCATTGCCCAGTGGCTGGGAGGGGTCCCCCACTGCCCTGCGGGGCTGGGAGCTGTGGGAGGAGGGGGTCCCGCAGTGGCAGGGGAGCTGTGGGGGGGAGGTTGAGGCTGATTCCCCACTCTGGCACTACAGAAGGTGGGGACCCGCAAGGATTCTAAAAATTAATACTGGCCACTCCAGGCTTGTATTGAACTCCCAAGGTTACAGCTTTTTTCTGACCTTGGATGGGTAGATGCTGCCACCACCCAAGTGCAAAACCCCTTTGAGAACCTAGGAAGGTACACTTGGTAATTCCTCCCTGTGGGGTATCCTCAAGCCCTTTCACCCCACTGCTGGGGAAAAGCTGAGAAAGAAAAACAGAGGAAATTAGCTGTTGCCACCAGCTAATTAAATAACGTGCACAAACCTCTTAGGAACCAAAAATCCAATTCTGTTCTTAAAAAAAAAAAGGTAAATTTTATTAAAAAACAAAACAAAGAAAATACATCTGGAAACTTAGGCTATTGCTAGATTTTAAAAAGAACAACTACCATCAAGAATAGTTTCTTGAGGTCCAGCTTAAAGGTTACAAGCAAAACAAAAGCATTTATATGGGCTCCTATTACCGCCCCCCCCCCCACCCCCCTCATCCCTGTCCCGATTTTTCACACTTGCTATCTGGTCAACCTATTTTCATACCTGGCCCCAAGCTTCTTACAGGATAGTTGCTGCCCTGTTTGCCTCTCCCCAGGAGAACAACCACAGACAGACAAAAGGGCAGTCTTGTTTCAATTTTTAAAAGTTCTAGCCTTCCCATTGGCTCTTTTGGCCAGGTGTCCACTTATTTCCTTTTACCTATGTACAGCAGTGAGACTTTTTAACCCTTTACAGGTAGAGCAATTAGAGAACAGCCACTAAGAGGGATTTTATAGCTACTGGCTGATTGGCTACTTAGATGGTAGAACTTTAAGCTGTATTTGAGAAGCAGAATCAACTTTGGTCACTTCTCTCAAATTCAGCTGTTGCAGTATCATTTCTCCTCTCAGTTTCTGTCCAATTCCAATTTGATTACAAAACCTTTTGTAATGCTATGCTTTTTTTGTAGGAAAAAAGCTCAGCTAAAGAAGAGAAGAGGTGTCCCTACCATTAATGAACACATGTTATTTCATGGTACCAGCAATGAATTTGTAGAAGCAATATGCATTCATAACTTTGACTGGAGAATAAATGGTATGCATGCTGCTGTGTATGGAAAAGGTAAGCTGTAATGACTCTTTTAATACCACTCCATGTAACTTTTGAGTAATACACTTCTTTTGCTCTTCCCTCTCTAAACATATAATGGTATCCCACAAATGCATTTACCATACTGTGGTCTGTAGGGCATTTGCTGTTGGTATGTGGAGGATTGTTTAATCTGTCTCTCTTCTTCCTGCTAAATGTGATAAAAAGACAGCTAAAATATATTAAGTAAGCAATTCCTGTAGTTACCACAGTTGGATATTATGCAGTAGGGTGGGGCAGAAGGGTAAGCCGGTCATGGGGCAATCTCCCAACTAAGATGTGGTTCACACTGAAAAAGCTTGAGAAGCACAGCACTAGTATAATTCTTATAAATTTTGCTGGATTGATTATGAATATAAAACTGAGATATATGGCCTGATTCAGATCTTACATCAAAATGATGTAAGAAGGGATCGGAATCAGGCCCTCTAGATTTCATAATGAGACTGTTTTCATCGGGTATAATTTTTGCTGTTTGTTTTTTAAGGGACCTATTTTGCAAGAGATGCATCGTACTCCAGTCGTTTCTGCAAAGACGATATGAAGCATGGAGACACTTTTCAAATCCATGGTGTCAATCTGCAACATCATGTGTTCAGAACGTATAAAGTTATGTTTCTTGCTCGTGTTTTAACTGGAGACTATGTCATCGGAGATTCCAAATACATGAGACCTCCTTCAAAAGATGGGAGCTTTGTGAACTTATTCGACAGCTGCGTGGATAGTACTTGGAATCCAAAGATCTTTGTTATCTTTGATACCAACCAAATCTACCCTGAATATTTAATAGAGTTCTGTTAAGTTTTGCAAGGAGCCAAACTGAATATTAGGTTGGTTGTGATGGATGGTCAGTATGTCTTTGCGAAGGAAATATAACTTACAATTCTTTTTTAAATACACGGTGGTGAACAGGGATGGAGATGTGAAGGAAAATCTGGCTTACATCTGTAAAATCCTTTTGGCTTAAGGTTGGTTGTCCATCTGTTAGTCCTGTAAATAAACGTTGATGCTTTTCATATTTAGGGTTTATAAAAAAATTTAATATGGCTTAGCTGAGCCTTAATTAAATTGGACATGTAATGTCTTCAAAGAATTCTTACTGCTATACATTTTTAAAAATAATACATATGTATTTATCTATGTGTAAAATATATATTTATGCGTATGATACAGTATGTGTACAGATGAATAATCTTTTATAAAGATTTTATTTATAATTTTACAAAATGCAGGGGGCTTAATAGTTATTGGTATATTGCAGTATGTATTACTTGTAGATTGGAGTTTAAATCTACAGAACAATCCGTCTAGGGAAAGCAAAGGTGTGGAATCCTAGAATATCAGGGTTGGAAGGAACCTCAGGAGGTCATCTAGTCCAACCCCCTGCTCAAAGCAGGACCAATCCCCAGACAGATTTTTGCCCCAGATCCCTAAATGGCCCCCTCAGGGATTGAGCTCACAATCCTGGGTTTAGCAGGCAAAGGCTCAAACCACTGAGCTGAACCAGCTGCTAGGACTAAATCTAGGTCTCATTCTGCTTCAAGCAACCTTGCAATAATGCTGTGGAACCTGTAAGTTGAAGTCTGGTTGTGACAGAATAATATACCTGACAGCAGTTGTGGTCAGTAATTAGGTAGGTATTTAGCCCTCGAGTCCTCTGTTAGGATCTCTTATGTGATCTATAGAATTGTTGTTTAATAGTAAAATGTGTTTTTTGTCATCTCCCCTCCCTCCCTTTGAAAACGTGTGTGTGTGTGTGTATGTAGCCAGCTTCTGTTTGTATGCTACTGTGTTTCTATAGCTTGGCTGGAATTTTAAGATGCACTCAGTGTTGACATGACTCTACTTCCATTGAAGTTGATGGTAATACTCTATTGAATTCAATGGAAAAAAGAATTAAACCAAAATGAAGGGCTTCTAAAAATTCCATCCCTTAATTTTTCCCTATGTTTCATGACTGGTTTTAGTAATACTTGTATGTGCTGTTTTTATGTAAACCAAGTTTTCTTTCCGTTTGCATAGATGCAGAGTATGGACTGTTTTTGCCAGGTAGAATCTGATTGGGGAGGAGAAGAGGGACCAGACGAAAGATCAGAAAGACCTAAACTCCCGAAGAAGGGGGACTGAGGTGTTAAATGAGTAAAAACACATTGGCCTTCCCTCATGAGACTGCCTCTTTGGATCCCTCCTCTTGGATTCTTGCCCTGTCACACAGACCTTAGATATACTCAAAGTTGTGTTAGCTTTCTGGCATGGGAGGGAGCATATTACTGCACATGCACAGCCTGGCATTATGACCAGCTAATAGTCATCTATCCCCTCCTCCCTAAGTCCTTTATCTGTGTCTGTTCATGGACTCTTGCAGTCACACCACATGTTGGTTATTTGATTTTCTTTGAAATTTCTTGGAAACTTTTCCTTGACTTATCTTCTTCAGCTGTTCAGGGCAGGGACTGTGGCTTCCTTTGTGCTTGTACAGTCCCTAGCCCAATGGGCCTCCTGAGTGGGATCTCTGGTGTTATTGCAATGATAACCAGTGATTGGTGCTATAGAACGGTAAACCTTCACTAATCCACAAGCCTTGTAATACACGCATGCACACACATTAAGGCGACATCTACACTGTGAGCTAGGTGTGTGTCCCCTGCTCATGTGTACATACTTGAGCTAGCATGAGTATAAATAGCAGTGTAGCTGTGGTAGCATGGGTAGCAGCCATGGAGGAATGACTAAGCCATCCCAGTGTGAGTATGTGTACACAAGCAGAGGGAATCACCCCTAGGTTGTAGTGAACCCTCCCGACTTCTCATCAGAGACTTACTAGCAAATGCGGTAGGGTGTCCTCAGACTAAGTCCTCTTTATTTTTATAAAATATTCTACAATACATGTACTTGGACATTATGAAATTATAAGAAGTCAAAATAAAAAAAGTTGTACCCTTTTGTTTGTTCACTCACTAATTTCCAAAATCCAGTAATTATTTTCCTCACATTTATTAGACTCATCTCAAGCTCTTCAGCTGGTGGGGCTAAGATAGGTTCCTCTGGCACCTTGAAACGGTCTATAAAGAATGCCTGTGGTACCAGTTAAATCTGCTCACTCCCTTTCCTCTGGCTGTGACTCTTCAGCAATCTTTGTACCCAGCACCTTGGTACTGTCCCTTTTAGTGGCTTTGCCCTATTTGACACAAAGTGACCTATCTGTGAGCCCGGTACCAGAGTCCCCCTGGCTAGCTCATATGTCAGCAGTACGACTAGGCCTTCGGTCACTGAAATCACAGTACCATGTACAGCTGTTGAGACATCTGTGCCATCTACTTCCCCTATACAGGTAGAAAGGGTGCAGGAATGCTATAGTACAGTGGTCTCCAAAGTGGGGTGCGCGGCAGGAGGAGCGTTGTTGTTGGGTTTTTGTTTTTGTTTTTGTTTTTTGCTTCGTCATGCGGGAGTCTGAGCGGCCTTTTTTTTTTCCCTTTGGCACGGCAGGGGGTTCGTGCTCAAAAAATTTTTACTGATAGGGGTGCGCGATCAAAAAAGTTTGGAGACCACTGCTATAGTACACCAAGAAGGGTAGCTGTACCCTTGGAGGAGGTGGATTCCTTTTCATCTTCATTGGGATATAGTAAAGATACATGTGTTCATCCCTCTTCCCTTCCAGAGGCACCACCTTGGAAGTCAGGGAGGGATTCCAGGGCTGCTCTTTGAGCAGCAAAAATAAGAATTAAGTTCTTGGCATCCTGATTTTTCTTAGGTTACGGCAGAGAGTAAATTCCACTCACTTCACATGTCATTTATAGGACTTGTCTACTCTTCATCTAAAAGACAAAGTAAAAAGGCCTGTGTTTTTAAGTACAGGCTGCAGTAGTGGTCAGATGGTTCAGCAAATGTAAGTTGAATAATGAGATTCAAAATGCCAGATCGTCTTGCTGGCTAATACACATCTTAAATGCATCTGATGATGGTGAGGAGCACCTTGTATCTCTATCAGCAATACTGTCACCAGACGAACAACTCTTTTGGAATAATATTGTATTAAATTTTTCATTTTAAAAAGATTACAGATTTTAAACAAGTCAAACGAGCCAGAATAAATAGAGGGTGAAGTGTGGCTCTGTATAGAGACCTGGATTTGAACTGGGAGACG